TTTGTTTTTTATTTAATTATTTACTTATATTTTTATTTACTCGCATTTATCTATTCATTCATTCTTTCATTCATTCATTCATTCATTCATTCATTTATTCATTTATTTATGTTCACGTATTTATCTATGTATTTATTTATTATCTATCTATTTATTCCTTTTTTGGAGGACAGGAGAGGGTGGTTACGGTCGAATCAGAAACGTTTGAAAAACTTTCAAGATAACTAATATTCTTGCTAGAGCAAAAGACACCTTTCGGTTTTTATGTGCCTCTGGGTTTTCAATGCTCCAGACTTTTGCAAGTTGTTTTCCTTTCGAAAGTAGCACACCATATTCCATCCAACTTTTCCGACCTGACCCGACTCGACCCGACCAGACGAAATCCCACCGACCGGCAGACCGGCAGAATAAATGTCGACGCAACTCAAGGCGCAGCGTCCTGAAGGACATAAATTTCTCAACTTTGATGGTTGTGGAGATGCCTAGGTTAACTCCGCTTCATGGCAGCGGCAGGTGACTGATTGTTAGGAACAGACAATATAAAGAGAATACTCTACATTTTTGCATCATGTCACGAGGAAGCAGCTTGGGAGTCTGGCGACGAGTAGTGAATAAAACCGAGACAGAGAGAAATGGAACGGCTCGGAATAAAACACGTAAAAAGAACTTCAAAGGACTCTGACAGGAATAAATCTTACTCAGACAAACAAACTGACAGACAGGCTATGAGGAAAGAAAGAGTGAGGGGGAAGGGGGGGATAGAGCTTGGGATAAGGGGGTGGTAGGCCGCTGACAGGATGAAGACAGACAGACAAACAGACAGACGGACAGACAGACGGACGGACAGACGGACAAACGGACAGATGGACAGACGGACAAACGGACAGACGGACAGACAGACGGACAGACGGACAGACGGACAGACGGACAGACGGACAGACGGACAGACAGACGTATGGAGATACATATGGCCTAATGGATGGATGGATGGATGGATAAAAGCCCACTCTGACCCAGTGCCTACTGGCACGATCGGTTCGTTTTGCTAGCCAGATTGAGGGTGCAAAGCGGCTATCATGGCACAAATCGATCGCCCGACTCGATGCCTAAAAAACAAACGCGTTCGTTTTCAGGCGATGAGTCCGGCGATCGGTTGTCGATAGGGTTGTCGATTGGGTTGTCGATTGGGTTGTCGATTGGGTTGTCGATTGGGTTGTCGATTGGGTTGTCGATACCCCAATGGGCACTCTGTATAAAGGTTTAAGAGAGTCCAAAAAAAAGTTTTTAAAAAGCCCACAAAACTTGACCTTACCTCTCTGGAATGTCCCATTGAATTTCGGAGTCAGAATGATGCTCACGTCCAGGTCCTCCCTGTAGTTACACATGTCCTCATCACAGCACAGCAGCAGCGGCAACCCTCCGCCACCTCCACCGCCGCTTCCAACGCCAGGCGGTGATTTCACGCCGTTGGCTCTGGCGCTGGCACTGGCGCTCACCACGTCCATGACAGGGCGGCAGGACGCACGCTGCGGCTCCGGCAGGGAGTCCAGGCATCCGTGGGTCTGATGCGTCGTTTCGCCGCGTACTTCCACCGCCGTGAAGCAGCGGCCGGCGGCGGACTTGCAGATGTAGCCCGTGGTGACGCAGCCTGACTCGTTACAGTAGCAGCGGAGCTCACCTGGAGAAACAAAATACAACGAAAAACTGGTGAGTTCTTTGTTCTAGAAAAGAGTCTGACGTCACTACGATAACGATCATTCGGTGCAAAGGTAAGAAAGAAACAGTGGCGGTGTTTGAGTAAAAAGTACCACGTTTATGCGATAACGGTCATTTGGTGCAAAGATCAAGTTACACAGAAACAGTAGCGGGAAACGGAAAAAAATCGGCCATACTTCACCGTACCTTTCTGGAATGTCCCATTGAATTTCAGAGTAAGAATGATGCCACCAGTGGCACTCTCTAACATCCACAGAAAGCAAGCAAGATAGACAGAAAGAAACAACAGCTGGTGGGAGGTGGGGAGGGGAGGTTAAGGTAGTAGGGCGTGCAGCGAAATCCTCCAACCATCTGGGCAATAATAATATACTGTTGTTGTCCCCCACGAACATACACTCAGGCACGCACGCACACACAGACACACAGACACACACACAGACACACACACACACACCACAAACACACACACACACATACACGCAGAGAGAGACAGACAGACAGACAGACAGACAGACAGACAGACAGACAGACAGACAGACAGA